TATCATTTAAATTATTGATTCTTTTTATTTATTTAAAATATATAATATTAAATGTATCTATTTATTTTATTACATGTAAAAATTATAAAAAAAATTATTTCTATATCACAACCCTTTTTGAATTACACTCTTCATTATTTTTAATAAACTTATTTTGATATTTTTACTTTTTAAATATAATTTTTTTTAAAAAATAATATAGTATATAAATAATAACTAAAATTTTTTATCAAATAAAAATATCCAAAAAGAACTTCATATAAAAAAATTAAAATCTTCATTATTTTTAATAAACTTATTTTGATATTTTTACTTTTTAAATATAAATTTAAAAAAAATAATATAGTATATAAATAATAACTAAAATTTTTTATCAAATAAAAATATCCAAAAAGAACTTCATATAAAAAAATAAAAACTTTTTAATTATTGTTTATATGATTTGTTAAATTTTTATTTTAAAATTATTTTTAAAATGTAAAAATAATAACTTAAATTTTTTATCAAATAAAAATATCCAAAAAGAACTTCATATAAAAAAAATAAAAACTTTTTAATTATTGTTTATATGATTTGTTAAATTTTTATTTTAAAATTATTTTTAAAATGTAAAAAAATTAAATTAGATCTACTAAAAAAAAGAAGAGAATATATTTTATGTGCTCATGATTTAGAGTTTTTGCATTAAAAAATGAAAATTTAAAATATGAATATAATATATTTATGGTTTAGATTACGTGCATATAAAAACTTAAAATTTTAAAATGTACACATAAATACCTAAAATTTATATTAGATACACATAACCATATGAGGTTACATAAAAGATCCTAAATACCTTTATTTTCTTTTATTTTCATTCTTTTAAGTTAGGATCTTTTAAAACATTTTAAAAAATTTTAAGTAATTATTTGGTACAAATTTGAAATGTTTATGTAAACATTTTGAAATCTCATGTCTCAATCCGCACATATCCAAAATTATATGTATATTATATTAATATTTTAAAATCTTCAATTTTTATATGTACTTATCTTAAATCATAAATAGTTAAATTATTATTTCTCCTTTTTTTCTTTTTTTTTTTAGTGATATTGAAAGGGAAATGAAAATAAGGATAATTATAGGTATGGTTTTATTTAGCTTTACTTACCATAAGATAAAAACTTACTACAATTAGTACTAATTATGGGTACGCCGACCCCTAAATTATGAATTATATACACCATAGGTTGGGATTATTAAGATTTTTAAGAAAGTTTAGTATTTCATTGAAATAAATAAGATTACAAAATTGAACGTAATGCCATAAATGGATAAGAGACTTGTTAAGGTTAGTGATCGAAGAAATTGGATTTTTTTTTTTTTTATAGAGTTGGAAGGGGAATGAATATGAGCACAATCATTGCATGGGTGTTGGATAGAATACCTTTTAATAATTTTGTATGGTGTTACTTACCATAGTTTTAAAAAAATAATAAAAATAATAATAATAAAAAGAAAAACTAATGATGTGTAGACTTTTGGGAGAAAAAATGATGGCTACACTAACCCCAAAAAAGTAAGTTGAATGCTTATTATTGTTGAGATTATAGGGTTTTTTTTTATGGAATGGAATTAGAAGGATTTAAAGTAAATTTTACGTGTATATTAAATTATAAGTATGATCACTAACTAAAGTGGGTTAACCGATTAAGAATTAAAATTTTATTTAGATATTTCATATTTGAATCTTGTATAGTATAGAAAGTGATTTAAAAAATTAAGAATGATTTATTTTTTTATAAGATATAATAAGTGGTTCAACTTAATTATAAGAAGGAAAAACCCTAATGAGGTAATTTAACGGTTAAGAATTTAAAACTTTAAAACTCCAAATTAGAGATCTCAAGTTTGAATATTGAGTCAAATAAGAAGGAATTTGGAAATATTAAAAAGTTATTTTCTCTTATATAACTCATAACCAGCTATACCAAAATAAAAAAAAAAACTTATGAGGAGGAAGATTATACAAGTTCAAACCCACATCAATAGGTGAGAAAGCCATTTTACAGTTATATATTTGATTAGTGGGCTAAAGGCCCTCCTCAAAAGATTGAGAATGTTATCTCCTCATAATTTCCACCATCAAATGCCCTAAAATAATAAGAAATAAAATAGAATTTGATCAGAAAAATAAATATAATTCATATAAACATGATAGTTAACTTAATTTCTATATATTTATTTACTTGAAAATAATTATTAAAAAGAAAAAAACAAGCAGAGAGAGGGATGGAGGGAGGATAAAGCATTTCACCCAATTTGATTATATAGCAGCATATCTTGATGACAATTACTTAAGTGTTCCAACAAGCAATAGTATTGTTTAATGAAAATAAGGAATATCATATTTGAGTAACATTATATTTAAGTGAGGTACATTAAATTATAGAAAATAATTATCTTTTATTATATAAATAAAAAAAAAGATTTAGGTATATAAAAAAGTAAATATCAAAATATTTTGATATTTTAAAAGTAAAAATTTTTATTAAATTATTTAAATACTCCTAATATATTTTTTATATATTAATTTATTAAAAATATTTTAATTTTTTATTATCATTTATCATATTAGGATGTCTTTATGTATTTCCATTCCCTTTGGTTGTATTAGTAAATTGTGAAAGCACGCATCTTTCTTTCTTTCTTTCTTTCTTTCTTTTTGAATACATCTAATTATGAATTATATAAAAATAATAATTCTCTTTTATTGTCCATGAAAATATGCAAAAATAAGTGTCATATACGAAATGTTGTTGGATTTGTGTACCGTCCCATTTAATACACGAATGGATAGTATATGGATGGTTTTCCTATTATAATGAAATTGAAGACTGGCAACATATATAATTATTATATTGTTAGTTATTGTTCATTGTCTCCATTCCATGTTTGGATATGAATATCCAGATTTGCTGGCACCCTTTTAAATGATGGGCAAACACATGCTTCATCATTTATATTTCGTCTCCTTTCTTAGTTTCTTTTAAATTTTACTATCCTCTTGTGAATTGTAACCTTCTTATTGTGTTGCTAATTAAGGAAACATTTTGAAGTTTTAGCTTTCTTTTGCATTTTTTCTTGATGTGAAAATTTCTAGTTTTCTCTTCTTATTAAAAGTCAAGAAATCTTGTACCTCAATCCTTCCATTTTATTATTTAAAATTAAGTATTGCATTTTTTAGGTTGACTTGTAAAAAAAAAAAAAAATCAGAAATGCGCGCATATGACGTTAAGTTAAAAATCCTTAGTGAATTAATGCACAAGAGAAATTTAATAAAAGTATTTAAATAATTTTATAAGTATTTTTACATTTTTTTCTTGTAGGTTGATTTGAAAAATACTTTTTTATATTTATTTTGTATGTGTATATATATATATTTTTGCTATTTGGGTATTTTATTTATTTTTTTAATGACATATTGTTCTAATAATGTTAATTTCATTATTATGGTTTCTCATAAAAACCAAACATGTGCAAATGTTTTTAACTAAAGTAGTAATAGTAAATTATATGAAAAATAAATAAAATAAAATGATAGTGGTAGTAGTAGATAAGTATATTGAAACAGAATTTTATTAGATGTATATGACTGGAAAGCTTGGCCCATTTGATAACTACCATTATCTAAGACTACAATTGTTGGCAAATATTAGATATAGGGTGCGTTTGAATTGTGGTTGACAGTTTTTGGTATAATTGTATAGTATTTTTAGATATATATGTGTTTAATAATTTTTTTAGATTACTTTTTTTTTTTAGTTATAAAAAGTTATAACAAATTTACAAGAATTTTATATATAAAGCCAAAAACTTTGTTTTGAAACTTTTTGATTATGACTTTTATGGATAACATTTAATATTTAATATAATTACAAATTTATTTATTAAAATCTAATTTCATTTAATTCAATTACATCATAATTTATAATATTTCATTTAAACTTAACCACTCATTTATTTGAAAATTTTATAAAAAATTAAAATCTCATTAGCTTCTTATAAATTATTCTTCAACGAAACACAAAAAAAAACCCATAACAAGAAACTTTAAAAACTTAAATTATTAAAAAAGTAATTTATATTATCTATTTTAATAATTATTCATCATATAATATTTTTAAAATGTTAATTAATAATTAATCAAATTTATCATATTTTATTTATAATATTTTAAAAAATAAATAATCAAATACCTAAATAATTTTCAATTACGATTATAATACAACACAATTTAACACAATCACAATTATAATTACAATTACAATTACACTTACAACTATAGTTATAATTACAACTACAATTACAATACTTTACAACTACAATTACAATTCCTTACAACAATTCTAAATGTACCCATAATTTAGCATTCACATCCGTTACTATCAACTTAGGATAAATACAATTAAGCCCGAACAAGC